CGTCAGCCAGACAGTGTCGGCTGGCGACCCCCAGGGGGAGAGCCTTCTCTGTCGGAGCACCCACCCTCTGGAACGAGCTGCCCCCAGAGATCCGGGTGATTCCGGATCTCCCCTCCTTCCGCCGCGCCCTCAAGACTTGGTTGTTTCAGCGGGCAGGACTGGCCTAGGGGTATTTTAAATTGGTTTTAACTAAATTTTATTAGAAGCGGCCTATTTAAATATTTATTTTTAATTATTTTCTTAAATTTTGTATTGTTCTGTATAAATTGTTTTTAAACTGGCTGTAAGCCGCCCTGAGTCCTCCGGGAGAAGGGCGGGGTACAAATATAATAAAATTCAAAATTCAAATTCAATCACTTTTAGATTGTTTTTAATTTGTCTCTTTGGTAAGAAACCATTCTGGTCTAAATTCAGTTTAGTATCTTTTCAGTCTCTCAGCCATTACTGAAGTAAAGATTTTATAGTCCACATTCAATAACGATATCGGTCTATATTTTTTTATCTGTGTCAAATCTGAGTCTTTTAGTATTAAAGTAATATTTGCTTCTATCCATGTCTTTGGAAGTTTGGCCTCCAACAAAAGTTCATTGCAAACAAACAAGAAATGGAAAATCAGGAGATCAACTTGTCGTGGTGAGCACATTTACAAATGCAAACTAGATATGAAAAAGACGTTAAATTGTATGGATTTTATAAAGAACAGACAGTATTTGATAAGACTTTGTTAACTTCAGATGAGAAACTAATTAAGAAAATGTATAATCTTTTATTAATTTTGGAAATGGAAAGTGAACAAGTTAAAGAAACAATGATAAGATGGGCGAAAAACTTTGGATATAATATAGAATTAGAAAAATGGCAAAAGTTATGGGAAAGAAATTATAAATTGACAATGTCAACTTCTTATAAAGAAAATTTATATAAAATGTTTTATAGATGGCACTTGCCACCAGCAAGATTAGCAAAAATGTTTAAAAATATGTCAGATAGATGTTGGAAATGTAAACATAACTCAGGCACGTATTATCATGTTTGGTGGACATGCGATAAAGTAAAGAATTATTGGAAAAAGATACATACTTGGTTAGAAAAGATGTTGGGAGAATATGGAGATTTTAAACCTGAACTTTTTTTATTAGGTATAATTCCAGAAAAGATTAATAAACAAAGCCTATATTTGATTTTACACATCACAACAGCGGCAAGAATAATATTTGCGCAATATTGGAAAAATGAAGGAATACCACCAGATGAAGAAATAATTAAAAAAATATTGGAATGCGCAGAGATGGATAGATTGACTATGAGACTGAAAGAAAAGGAAGAAATGGACTATTATCAAACTTGGGACTTACTTTACCAATTGTTAAAGGAAAGAATAAAGGATTAGGAATTTAATATGTATTGGCATATTTAAACTCAGACAGAACATTGGTTGAAAAATTATTATTATATGTATGGAAAAAATTAATAAAATCTTACCAAAAAAGTTCATTGCAAACATCTTCTAATACATCCAGAAGAAAATTTTTCCCCAAATTGGTTTAGATATGTAGTTTTCCAATGCAGCCACTTGCTCCAAATAGACAATTACATCTGTGAAACTCTGAGAATAGTTTTACAATTATAGGGGCAGTCTATTCTTCAAAGAAAAATATGTTTCAAGGAATAAACTTGTCAGGCTTCATTATATTGTATAGTGCCTTATTGACACAGTATTGGTTTCATAAAGGATGAGAGAATGACCTGATATCTTTTAACACATGAATGCAATTTTTGTTGCATGCAGGTCTGCTCCACTGGGAACTGCATTTAAACATAACTCCTATTAAATACAAGCTACCCGAGAGCTAATGAAGAGTTTAAAGTATCTCTTTGCTGTCATTTTTAATGCTTTTTTGCATTTTTGGAACCCACATATAGCCCTCATTCACACAATCCCCTAACTCAGAAATAAGCAAACCATATTATGGCTAGGTACATTGTGAGAAACTATAATTAGCTCAATTTGTAAAATATATCCATACATACAGTATATATTTCTATTTGATTTGATTTTCACACATAATGCATAAATTCTTTTCTGAATAAGTTGTAATCTTCCATCACTGCATTTCATGAGAAACATTTCATCAAACCTCCATTATACTTATGAAATTGATCAATATTCCTATATCAGAAATTCAAGAACATCTGATTTTCCACATTTTGCACATTATAAAAAATAAGTCTGCATCAGTCTATGAGTTTTAAAGGCCTTCCATCCTTCCGTAAAATGAGGACCCAGATTGTTGGGGGCAATATGCTGACTTTGTAAACTGCTTAGAGAGGGCTGTAAAGCACTGTGAAGCGGTATATAAGTCTAAGTGCTATTGCTATTAACTTTTATCTCCTTTAAGTACCTCTGTACATACTTCACTTATACTAGCACATTAAAGTATATTAACAGCTAAGTCTTTCTTTAGCAACTATCTGCAGTTACATCATGATGATGATGATGATGATGATGATGGTGTTAGCCACTCAGTCGTGTCTGACTCTTGGCGATTCTATGGGCCAGGTCTCTCCACATAAAATAACTTTACAACCAAACCTTACATTTACAACCTTTGCAAATCTGTAAAGCAAAAGAAAGCCGAAGATCATAAGCACAGTCACACTTTCACTTAGTGACTGCTTTGCTTAGAAACTGAGTTGCTGATCTCAAATATGGTCACTAAATGAGGACTACTTGTATAATTTTTTTCTTTGGTAAGAAATGAAGTGTTAATGCCCAGTTGGGGTATGTGGAAAGCAGGCCCTCCATTCCCCCCCCCCAACAGAATCAGCTGTTTTGGCTTGTTTATTTTGTCTCAATGAAATAGTGGGCATTTAAACTGAAACCTGGACTAGTTATACAGCCTCAGCCCTCTAAACTGCAATGGGGAAACTACATTACTATATTATAGTATTGGGTGGAGCTGAATCCAAAAGTAACATAGTCCACATGTGGGACTAAGGCACGCTGGCTGAGGAATTCTGGGAGTTGAAGTCCACAAGTCATAAAAGAGCCAAGTTTGAAGACCCCTGATCCAGACCTTCAGCAAGAGAAAATGAGATTCCTTGCTTCATCAAGCTTGCCACTGCTACCATTTTATTGATATTGTTATTTGTTCTATTGTTGTGAGCTATCCAAGAGTTGTTGAGAGTCAGGCAGCATGCAAGTTTAAAATTGTAACAAATCCCTACAATATTATGCCACTGTTTGCTTAAACTTTCCTGTCTTGAATAATGACCGTTACATCGGTTCACCCTATGCGTGGACTGTAAAAAGTTTACCACTTCTCTTATCTCTCTGCTGCTATCCTTGTCCCCGTGTCTTGAACACAGATATACCCCCTTGTTCTGGGGAGAAACACATCCATTTTGTGGACAAGTATGTTGTGGGAATTCCAATTAAACGTCTCCCTACTTGATGCACTTTCGGAATATGCCACGTTGTGTCAAGGACGCTGTCCCAGGTTTAGGTTATTTGCCTGCTTTAGGGCCCAAGGTATTTCTAAGAGGCGCAATTAGCGACTCAAGTAAGACTTCCATCGGACTGCAAGGGCTTAAGAAAGGCAGCGTTGGCCGTTCACCCAGACTATGTGCAAGGCACAAGTCCCTCCTCTTCTCTGCTTGCCCTCCTCACCTGTTCAGAGGACAATTCCAACGCGTGTTGTTGCTGCTGCTGCTGCTGCTGCTGTCTCACCGGTGTCCCGGACCGACAGCTCCTACTCAGCTGGACTCGGAAGGCCCCACGCAGGAGCAAACCCCGGCGCCCGCGCTGAGATACCCTGAAAGCTGATAAGGATGCCATTCCTCTTGCCTAAGCTAAATCACTTTCCCACAACCACTCCAACACGGGCCAAAGGAGAAGTAGCCGGCTGGAATCACGTGTGCCGAGAAGGAGGGGAACCAGCGACCAATAGCGATCGAGGAATCCGCTCGGCATGTCGGGATTTGTATTCTGTTCAGGCCTTCGCGTGAGTCGTTGCGTAATGTTCTAGTTGGGTTAGCGGTTGCTCAACCTGTATGAATTTGCGCGATCCTCCTGGGTTTTATCTTTCCAGG